CTTGGAGGCTAGAGTTTTGAAGCTCTGTTTCATCTACTTTGGATAAGTGCCAGAAAGGGCTGGTCCTTGGAGAAGGTCCTTATGCTTGGAACAGTGAGGGACAGCACAGGAGATGAAGACCCTGATGAGATGGATTGATGCAGTAACTGGGGTAAGGATTCAAAGCATGTCTGAATCACTAAGATTGGCTCAGAATAGAGTCACTATGAGTAACAGTTGGCTCAAAGGCACATAACAACATATGCAGATAATATCAAACAAACAAAACCACGTACCCATTTAGAGCTAGTAGCTCAATTTGGTAAAGTATCAGCATATAAGATTAATATAAAAAATCAGTGAGATTAATCTACAGTAATAGAGATAACTCAGAGAATGAATCCAAGAAAGCAATACTGTTTCTAATCGCCAACCACAAATTGAGATACCTGGGAGTGAATCTAACTATAGACACAAAAGACCTGTATGAAGAAAACTACAGAACATTTTTGCAAGACATAATAAAAAAACCTATGTAAATGGAAAAAATATTCCCTGTTTATGGATAGAAAGACTCAATATTGTGAAAAAAAAATACAAACCTACCAAAAGCAATCTGCATATTTAATGCAATCCTAATGTTGTTGTTGATTGCTGTTGAGTTAAGCATGACTCATAGTGACCATATGAGCAAAAGACCGGAAGTCTTTCTATAACTATCATTGTTTCTCAAAGTTCGTAGAGTTTCCAGAGGTGTCTTGTTTAGGATGTGGATGCTACTCCTGCTTCCAATTTTACTGCTGCATTATTTACAATAACAAAGAGATGAAACAACTCAAGTGATCATTAACAAATGAATAGATAGAAAACTATGGCACATTCACAAAATGGTATTTTACACAGTATTGAAAAACAATAAAATTGTAAACCATTATACATACATGGGTAAGCCTGTAAGACATTACGCTGAGTGAAGTATCTCACTCGCAACAGGACAAACACTGCATAGCACCCCTGTTATAAAATAGGACTGACATTGGGTATTGGGTAAGCATAGAAAAAGGATGTATAGAGAATTAACACTACATTGGGAATGAGTGGAAGAATGGTCTGAAAAGGTCTGAAAAGAATTAGGATATTTGTAACAACAATATGGGACAAGAGTTGTATTGCAAAATAGAAGGGAGAGGGAAGAAAATGTGCAACAATGAATGAGTAAAAATGAACAAAAATCTTAAATTAGTTTTCACTATCAAGGAAGTAGAAGAAACAATAAGGAAGGTAAGAATTTTTTACTTCTAATAAATGAAGGGGAGAGAATGGGTAATAGTTAACTCATCGTTTCAAATGGTAATAATTACCTTGGAAGATGTACTAAATTAATTTTTCAATTGTCAAGTTTATTTAGAGAGGAAGGAGACCCTGAATAAGCAAAGCACTTCTGAAAAATACAAATGAAGGGAGAGGCATATCGCTTCCTGACCTCAAAACCTACTACACAGCAGTAGTAACCAAAACAGCATGGTACTGGTACAATGACTGGCACATAGACCAATGGAACAGAATTGAGAACCCAGAAATGGACCCAGCTATTTACTATCAACTGATATTAAACAAGGAAAGAAAACCTATCAAATAGGGAAATGACAACCTCTTCAACAAGGTAAAACTGGACTGCTGCCTGCAGAAAGTTGAAACCAGATCCACATCTCACATCATACACAATATATACAAAAATCAACTCAAGGTGAATCAGAGACCTGGGGGTAAAGCCCCAAACCATGAAGTTCATAAGAGACAAACTCGGGTCAAGCTTAGAAAGCTTAGTCTACTGTATGAAGAGACTCCCAAATACAGCCAGAAATGCCTAATCTGGAGAGGATAAAATTGATGCATGGAATCTTTTAAAGACTAAATCTCTGTGCTCATCAAAAGTGTTTTCCAAGGTGAAAAGAAAGTCTACCACCTGGTAACAAACATTTGGCAATTACATCTAAACAAGGGTCTCATAACAAAAGTTTACAGAATACTCCTGGGCCTCCAGAACACACACACACACACACACACACACACACACACACACACACACACTGTTAACCCAACTATAACATAGGCAAAAGACAAGGGAAGACTTTTAACAGAGGAAGACATTCAGATAGCCAAAAGACACATGAAGAAATGCTCAAAATTACTGGCAATAAGAGAGACACAAATAAAAATTATAATAAGATCCTATCTCACCCTAGTAGCAGTGGCAATGTTTAGCAGGTCAGCAAGCAATAAATATTGGGGAGGATGTAGAGAGGTGGGAACTCTCATGCAGCGAGGGATGATTGTAAAATGGTACAACTGAGGGGACAGCATAAACACCATTTTTTTTTAAAAAACCCATTAATCCTAGAAACAGAAGTAGGCCATAAAAATTTTCTTAACTTAGGAAAGCTAAAGAAAACACAAATGCATGGGTAAAGTCTCATCTGTCCTTGTAAAGTAAAGAATTAACTAGTGTCTATGTGACACAAAAATAGTAAAGGCAGGCAAAGAAGCCAGCCCATCAAAGCCAACCCACATGACTGATCTCTCAGCCCACCAACCATGCTCCCAATCTCCCCACCCCAGATAGAAGCACCCAGGAAGGCTTTCAAAACAATTGCGCAGGAAGACTTGTGGCTTTTTTTTTTCTCTCACCACCTTTCTACTGAGGGAGAGAGCCTCCACATGTGGAAAACTATTCTGCAAAATAAAGTGCTCTTTGTGTTTGCATACCTTAATTATTCCTTTGAGAGGCATTTCGTGGGCAGAACAGCAACCACTCTTGGAGACAGCTTGACATTTCTTCAAAAAGTTTATTTAGAAACTCCATATGACCCAGCTATTCCACACTAGGAATATACCCAAAGGAAATTAGAACTGAGGTACAAATGGAGATCTGTACACCAATGTTCATAGCAGTGTTATTCACCATGGCAAGATCATGGAAACACCTCAAATGTCCAACTACAACTGAATGGATTGAGAAACTATGGTACATTCACACAATGGAATACTATGCAAAAAACAGGAGCAAAGATTTAGAAAAACACTACATAAACTTGTGAGAAAACTAGAGAACATTTTGCTGAGTGAACTAACTCAGCTTCTGAAGGACAAATAATGCATAAGACCATTTTTTATTACTTGCTGTGTGCTGTCGAATCATATCTGATTGGCACAGGAGGAGATTGCCCCTCCTTCTCCAGCGGAGCATCTGGTGGATTCAAACTGTGGGCCTTTGGGACTGCAGGACAACTTCTTGCCACTAGGCCACCAGAGCTCCCTATAAGACCATTATTGTAAAAACAGAAGGTTAACTAGTAAAAAATGTATGGGGATACAAGGGCAGAAGGGTTGCGAGCAAAGGGATGAGGATGGGTGGAGACAAAACCACAGGGTTGCATAGTTTGGTGGGTGGAAGAAGCAGGTAAAGAAATTAAGAAGGATTCAGTGAGGACCTCAAAAGACTGTGTAATGATGGGCAAAATCTAATGGTGATTGATTTATAAAATATAACGCATGGGAATGATCATATGAAACACAATATGAATGAAGAATAGTGTGAAACACAATGTATATGAACTTTGTGAGAAAACCAAAATAAAATAAAAATTTTTTAAAAAAGAAATATGGCCTCAGGAATCAATAGGATATCAATTGACATGTTCCAAGTAACAGATGCAGCCCTAGACATATTCATAAATTTGTGCCAGAAAATTTAGAGGACAGTTGTCTGGCCAATTGATTTAAAGAGTCCATGTTAGTTCTAAGAAAGGATATTGAGCAGGATGTAGAAACTATCCAACAATATCATTAACATCACATGATAACAAAATATTGCTGAAAATCATCCAAAAATGACCAGAATATTACATTGGTGGGTACTAGTGTATAAATCCTGTAACCTCTTTCATTGTTCTCATAGCTCTTTTACAATATTGATCTGAAATTAGTTGAATTTGGTTTGTTTTGTATCCTTGTTTAACTTTCTTCTTTTTCCTGCTTATGTCTCCATTCCTGTACTCTTCTTATTGTCACTTTTGAAAAACTATTAAACTACTTACATACAAACTTTCATCTAAGTATCTACTTCTGGGAATCAAATCTAAGGCAGTAAATTTACTGATTATACTAATATTAGCGTTCTTTTTATACTATTATAGCCATAATCAAGCGAGAAGTAGCTATATTTATTACTGTTGCTATGTGTCAATGAGTCTGAATCAATGTCTTGCTGACCCTCCAGTAGATTTTCACAGGCTGTAATTTGCATGAGAGGAGATTGTCCTTCTTTCTTTTGAGGAGTAACTTGTAGATTCAAATCACATGTCTCTGTGTTTGCATTGCAAATCCTTATCACTAAGTCACCAAGATATTAAACAAGAGAAATGTATGAGTTAAAAATTAAAGAAATTGACAATGACTTAATTTAACTTAGATCTGCAATCAAAACCCATGACAGCAAGTCAAGATATCCAGGTTACATTGGAAACATCTTGCATTAGGGAAATTTGCTGTCAAAAGATTTCTCTAAAATACTAAAGAGCAACAATGCCATCATTTTAAAGACTACCATGTGCCTGATCCAAGCCAGGTATTTTAAGTTGCTTCTTATAAATCTGGAAATTGGACAGACAAGGATTACAGAAAAATTTATGCCTTTGAATTGTGGTGTTGGTGAAGAGTACTGAATAGCCAAAAGAACAAGCAAACCTATCTTGGAAGAAATGCAACAAGGGTGCTTGTTAGAGGTAAGATTAGTGAAGCTTCATCTTATATACTTTGTGCAAGTTATCAGGAGAAGCTAGCTCTTGGAAAAAAGATATTGTACTGGGAATGGTGGAAGAGCAAAGAAAGAGATACAAACCTTCAACAAGATGGATGTATATATCCATCAACAAATGAATGGCTAGAAAATTATGATATATTCACACAGTGGAAAACTATGCAGCACTGAAAATCAAAGAACTCATAAAATATTACACAACATGCGTGACCTGGAAGGACGTTATGTAAGTAAAATATGTCAGTCACAAAAGGATAAATATTACATAACACCACTACTATAAAACAGTACTGATACGGGTGTTGGGGGAAAACTAAAGAAAAAGGGATAAGTGAAGAATACTGCATTGAAACAGATGAAGGAAAGAACTGTTTAAAAGGAATATATGATTAGGCATTATATGTATAACAACAGCCCAGAATAAAAGGTACATTGCAAAGAGGACTGAGGGGAGGTGGGAATAGGAACCCAAACAGGTGGCATATATGACTAGGTGGAATATATGATTAGGCACTACATGTATGGCAACAGCCCAGAATAAGAAGTGTTTAGCAAAGTGAACTGGGGTGAGGGGAGGAAATTGTGCTACAATGAATGAAATTTTTTAAGAGAAAAGCAAATTTGGAATGGAGGGAGTAGGAAGGAAAATGTGCAACAATGAGTGTATGGAAATCCAAGTTTTCTGACTTTTATTGAGATCATAATTAAAAAATTATTTATTTTTTTTAAAAAAGAAAAAAAAAGATGGATGGATATAGTAATTTATAGTAATTGTTACAATGGGCTTGAACATGTCAGAGATTTTGAGGACTACACAATTAGGGCAAATTTGAGATCTCTTGCTAGTAGGGTAGTTGTGAGTTTTAATCAACTTTATCGTACATAACAACAGCAACATCACAGAAGTTTTACTTTTTTTTAATATTCTAATCTTGAATTTGAAAGAAAAATAGAAAGAATTAATGACTTTTTCCTAAAAAATCTTTTTTTTTAAGTTCTTCCATTGAAAAAGCCTAGAGTAAGGAGATCTGGCATCAAGAAGCACCCTAGTCAATGAATGAATGGAATTCCAAAATCTCTGTAGATGTTCATTGAAATGAAAAATAAATAAATTAAAAAATACATATATAAAAGAAGCACCCTAGTGCTCCTAGAGTTGTCTCTAAATTTTAATTTCCATTGCAAAGAGTGAGTTTTGCTTGAAGAATTTCAGGATCTGGAGAAATGCACAAGATGAAACTTGACAATTTAGTTGTGTACCAAAAATCAAGGAAACTACTTATAATAACTGGAGCTATATTAAAATGAGAGAGACAATAATTAAATGCCATTTGTAAATCCTGTTTGGCTTCTTTTTTAAAGAGACAACCATAAAAACAATTATTATATGCAAACAAATAAAAAATACAGAAAAAAGATATTAGAAAGATTTTCAGAGTAATTAGATATTAGATAATACCAAGAGGCTATTTTTTAAAAAAAATTTAGGTTCTGGTGGCATGAACTTTATGTTTCTAATAGTCTGTATCAGTTAGGTACCCAGACTGAAGAGTATATATGAAAAACAGACACAAAGTTTGAGATTTCCAGCAAGTACTAAAAAAAAAAAAATCTGTGAGGTAAATAGAGATTTGAAGGACAAAATATTTATTTTTATTTCTTGAAAATGGTTATTGGAACACACTGATATTAAGCTTTTTAAAGTACATTTGAAAATTTCCATAATAAAATATGAAATTAAAAAATATATTTGTCAAGGTGACATAGAGCTCTGATGCAGAATCCTGTGAGAGGAATTTTAAAAAGTCTTATAGTAACAGAAAACTTTGGGACAAGCAAAAGGAATGATTATTCACTTTAGGTAATCAGTATCCAGAATCTTGGACACTAACGACAAGTGTTTATTTAAAATCTGAACTTTGAACTATTGTTAACCAGGGCTTTCAATTAGTAAGAGGGCTCTGATTTCAGAAGAAAGTACCAACTTTAGTTTTCTGAGTAGTAGACATATTTGAGATATGTAGCAGGGAATCAACACAACTTGGACCTCTCAGGAGGGGGCAAAAAAAAATTAACTGGGGAAAAAAGAAAAAAGAGAAACCAGGGAGAAAAATAATGTTTTATTCTATAGCAGCTCCTATATGCCAAGAGGGTATTAGGCACTTTAAAAAACGGAATAAAAAAATTAAAAAGCATGCTTATTAGTTATGTAATAAATTGTCTAGAGCACAAAATCATCATATAAAGGGAGCTTAACTAATTGTTGTTAAATGTTTGGAGCTGACTCCAAAATGTGATGACCTAATGTATAACAGGATAAAATGCTACCAGGTCCTATGTCGTCTTGATGCTCATTAGAATATGTGAGTCTGTTGTTGTGGCTATTGTGTCTTTGAGTTTAAGTGACTCATCTTCCAGCACCATATTAGACAATATTATGTTGTGATTCAGAGAATTTTCATTGACTGATACTTTCAAGGCTTTCCTTCCTAGTCTGTTTTATTCTGGAGGCACTGTTGAAACATGATCCTCACATATGGCCTTGCTAGTCTTGAAAATACCAATATAGTTTCACTCCCACCATCATAAAAATGTGCAAGTTACTAAAGTAAAACAAGTTGACAGATGGGTTTTGGAATCAAAGCAGTTGTCCAGACCCATTGCTGCTGAGTCAATTCTAATTCAAAGGAATCCTCCATCAAATTTCTGAAGCTGTATGTAAATACTTACCAGAAGACAGCATACATTTTCCTCTTGAGAAGCAGCTGATAAATCCAAACCACTGAACTTTTTGGTTAACAGTGCAACATATATAACACATGGATGTTCCTAATTGATCATTAGAGAGTCTTCAAATTACATGTGCTCCCAGTTATTATTATAGACAAATAGCTAAACAAGAAGAATTTATAGTGCTTTTACAGAGAAAATCATGAGGGAGGTAACATCCTTTAGAGAACATGTCTTAAGACTTTTTTTCTGTATATGTTGAATGTCAAATAAATAAGAAAGCAAAGGGAAGGGTATAGAGGAGAACTAGAAAAGAGAAAGGAATATGCGGTAAAGGAATAGAGGGAGGGAAGAAAAAGAACAGAAAGATTGAAAAGAAAAAAATCTAATAGCTCATTTATGTAGAAGGTATAAGTATATATGTATAAGGTATGTAGAAATCATCAGAGCTTAATGCCAGAATAGCATTATATGCAGAACTATACTCAGTAGAAAATTCTAGAAGCTCCCAGACCCTGCTGGGAGAGAGATTGTAGCTCTCTGTCTAATGTGGCATGAAATTATTGGCAGATTTCCAGAAGGTTTCTTATCCATCTGGTGATTTCAGACTCACGTTATTCAAGGCAGAGATGAAAGTAAAGTTAAAAATTAAGCTTTTAACTTTGATATAGTGAAGTAAAAAGATTTAGTCAAGGATTTAAAGGACTAAAAAAGGTAAATCCAGAATTCCGGTATTTTGTAAAGTTGAGAGAAAAATCTTTACAGAGGGGAAATCTTTCATTTCTTGAATCAGGTTAGTATTACTGCTTGTTAACTGACATTGATAATTCATTTTTCAGAGGAAAAGAAAGGGGTTATAAAGCTTTTATAGAAGGCATCTAGCAATTTTGGGAAATTTTTGGTGGGGAAACTTTTGAGAAGTCTTTGGATAAATTGATGAATAAAAAAGTATGCCTATCTCCAGAGGCTTTTCATAGGGAGAGAAGAAATAAAAAAACTCTAATAGATTGATGTGAAGCAAAAAGCTGTGTGAATATACAAGAAAATATAAGGTGTATGTAAATGTACTTGTGTGTAGTGTGTGGTGCTTATGTATCTGTGAATGTTGTGATATGTCTGTGTTATATATGATGAGATGTATGTATAATTATCTGTTGTATGTGTAATGTTACATGTGTGATATGGTACACATGTGATATGAGTGTGTATGTACGTTATGTGTCAGTGATAAGAATATTGCTGTGTACAGGTAGTCCCTAACTTATGCCCTATGCAAGTTATATAACATATTAAAATTATGAACAACTGCATTTATGACTATCTTTTCATTTTTAGAGACATTTTATCATTAGTATTATGTACTATACATAATTATAGCATGTAATTTGCTGATTGTGCCATTCTCAGAGTTTCACTCACAAGTGTTCAATGCTATAATATACCATTAAAAACACTGCTATGTCAGATGTTATGAAAACTAGAAAACAGGGTTGGGGGGCAATGGAAGAAAAAAAAAAGAGCATTTGACTTAGGTCAGAGCCAAATAGAGATGGAGTTGTCAGAAGAGATTTCCAATGTTAAGTATGGGAGTATCTGTGCATATTTACTGGGCATGTTTGTCATGTGTAAAACAACAGTGTGTGATATAAAATGCTAAGTGCATAAAGTATAATAAAAATAAAACAAGGAATTGGAAGAATAAAAAATTTCTTTTACTTTTATGTATTCATTTTCCAATGATCTTCCTTCCCATACATCCTAATTTCTTACCTCTATCATTTCCTACCTGACTGAAGAAATACTTTTCAGTATTTCTTTAGGGTGAGATCTGCTTATGACTTTAGTTTGAGAAAATATTTATTTCATTTTAGGGATGTTTTCATTGAACTTAGAACTTTAAGTTGGTAAAATTTTTGGTTAACTTTTAAATCAATTAAAAAATCATAAAAATAAAACATAAAAGGAAACACAAGATGGTGTTGATGGACATTTTTATGGTAAATAATGCTCTCCTCTGATATATTTTATATCATAGAAATTTAGTGGTTTTGAGTTAATTTCTTCCATTTTTTGCTGATATTACTGTGTTTTGCACTCTTAGTGGATAGTGACTCAACTTTTCAGCAAGAAAGAAGTAACTGCAGCTCTGCATACAAATGGATAGCCAGCTCCCTCCCAGGAAAGGTAACACATTACTCTTTCTAACCTATTGCACAGAATTCCTCTTTCTTATATATGACTTCATAGAATTGGTGTGAGAGGATTATCTATGATAACATATAAAGAGTTTGTTCAGGAAAAGAAGTAAAAATGTTCAAATGAAAATCCATTCCTACTATGCTTTTTCCCTAAGAACATTCGTAAATTTAAAAATTGATCTACTTTGCTCATAATTTATTTTACTTCACTCTGTTCTTATGCAAGAGCCAATTAATCATTTAGTGGAGAATATCAAAGGGAGGTTGGCTAGCTTGGTTCTGTCTCAAGCAGAAGATAAACA